GGTTCAGACTCGGGTCAAATTGATTTGGATTTATGTTGGGTGAAGTGTGTTGATTCAAGACAAAACTAAGTTTAGTCAATAATTAATAAAAAATCAATACATTAACTATAAATTATTTAATTCAAATGAAGAAAATTAAAAAAATGTTAAGAAATTAATACTTATGTATGTAATGATTAACCTAATGGTTATCCACAACCCAATCCAACCCAACCTATTTAAATGGGCAGATTAGGTGATGGGTTGATCACACAACCCACAAAGTAAATGGACGAATTGGGTGGATTAGGTGAAAAATTACCGCCCCAAGCAAGAGATAAGACATAATTATTATTCCTTGAATATGTGAGAAATTGCTAAAACCCCTTGTAATTCTTATTCCTTGAATATGACCTAATTATTATTCTTTGATTCTGAAAGAGCTTATATACGAATAATAAATAATAAATAGGAAAGGAGAGAGAGGGTTTCCTTCTCGTAATCCTCCCTTTTGTGAAATTGCCATATTGAGTTCCATTCCATGCAACAATAAATCATGTCGCACCATGCTGAAGGGAATTTCATTTTCCTCATTAAGGCCACCAGAAATGACTAACCCATCCTATCAAAATGCCTGGGACATATCCACTTTGATGGTTGCCCATCCCTTTTTACTTATTTTTCTTCATATAATGTATTATTTCTTTGGCAATAATTATGTATCAGTTATTTAACGATCCTCTACAAAACCACCTAAATTTTGTCATCAAAGATGTTAACATATTGGTTAAGACTTTTGCAATTATTTTATATAATATAATAGGTTGCATAGACTGATGGGTTTAAAGTGACAAGCCTTTTGGGGCGGAAGGGATTTAGGGATGAAAATGAGATGTGTTTCATTGATTTTTGATAAAGGCATATTTGAAATAAAGAACTCCTTAACCACTTCATAAACATCTGAGCTAACCACATGCCAATATTTCTGGAAAAACAAAAAGCTAGGGAAGCCATCCTTACCTTGAGCTTTGTGAGGATGCATTTAAAATACAACTGATGTAGGGCATACAAGTAGGGATTCAGCTTCATCACCATTTAGCGTACACAAATTCACACCATCCAAATCACATCGATCTCCTTGCTTTCTGCTAGCTTTTAAGAATTCTTTTTCCAGTTCCTTGCTAATGGCGGCCTTAGAAGTTAGACCCTCCTCTATCTTGAGCCAATCTATGGTGTTCTTCCTTCGATGAATTTTAGTTGAGTTGTGAAAAAATTTGGTATTTTTGTCATTTTTTTCTTCTAGTTTTTTTAGTTCACCATGGTTGGAGGAAGCTATTAAAAAAGGATTTTAGGGTCTGTTTGGTTTGCAGTTGGAATCAGAACCAGAATCGAAATGATCCATTCCCATAATCTGTTTGGTTCAGATGGAAATGAGAATGGGAATTAAAATTAGCAGGAATGAGATTTCATTCCCAAGGGATGGACAGGGAATGGCCATTCCCTCAAATGAGAGAATGTCATTATCCAAACAGTTGGAATCGGAATCCGAATATAGTCCATTCGGATTCCGATTCCAGACCCCTATTCCTGCGAACCAAACGGGGCGTTAGTAATGTTGGTAGAAAGATTTCAGTTTTCCCAGTACTAGCAATGCTCTATGCTTTTAATTAAAGTCTCTGTTACAGTCATTTCTTGAGAGTAAATGCAAATTTGGTCAAAAAGTATATATGAATACAAACTTGTTTTAATTTTGCATTGACAAACTTTGTTTTTTTCGCTTTTTTTTTTTTTTGTAGTTGTGATGGTACAAACATGAATTTGAATATTGTGCATATGTCTGTGTTTGGTGTTGCAGTAGTACTATAAATGTATGGGAGTGCAAATGAAAAAATGTAAATTCTCATTTAAATTTATTTTGGGTTTTAATTTATTCTGCTTCATGTATTAATTTACTTCATTTATAATGCAATCAAACAAAATAAGATAAATTTGAAACAAGAATAGATCAGAATTCACACTGAAATCATTTGCACTGTCACAGTTTCGCATCAATGCAAGTTTATTTGCATTGCAACCAAACACAGCCATACCAATTTTGAGTGCAAAGTTTACTTCTATATTTTGAAAGTAAATTTTGTTCATATTTTAAATGCAAAAACCTCAAATAGAACAACTTTATTTTCATTTTCGAAACAAAACATTTTCTTACCAAATAATCTTAAAACCGAATCAAAGTACAACTTCATCACCTGGATTCTATATTTGTAGTCTTTACCAAATTGGCTTCAGTTCTTACAAAGTTACAAGACCGTACTTACACCATTGGCACAGCTTTTTACAGTGGTGCATTGGGAATACTTACCTACTGTATGCTTTCTTTCAGAAAAAGATATTTCCAATACAATGCTATAAATGACTGTATGGTATTGTGAGGACCAAATCCCACTTCACCAAATACAGCCCTTAAAATTTTTCGGCCAGACAAAATTGATGATTGTAGGCCGAATTATTCGAGTTGGGATCTATTCATAACAAAAATTTTACCAATATGATCTGTATCCACACATCTCATCATCAAACGAGACCCACTATATTTGTAATGTGCGGATACAGATCATATTGAAACAATAATTTTGTTATGAACAGATCCGGCCTCTAATAGTCGAATTGCTTCTATCACACAATTACGCTGGACATCAAGTGGCTATATCCGATTAGACAGGACACAGGAACCCAACCACCAGAATTAAGCTTAAACTAATCAAATTATTAATAGGGTCCATAAAGGTTTAATCTAATCCCTGGCCCACTAGGTAGGTTGGTAAGTGCATACCAAACCCCCACCCACTAAAATCCATTTAAGCCCATTATGGCTCTGGACAAAGTCCTACTTGGAAACCGTAATTTGGTTGACGGATGTCAAATAGCAAAATGGATTCGAACACCAGAAATGATAGTGCTGCCTCCTGCCTCTTCTCTTGATCTCTTCCTCATCCTTGCCTCAGGTTTTCTATTAATCGTTTCCACCTGGCAAATAAGATCTTTCTATGGGCATTTGGTATCCAGTTTTGAGTGTGATTATACCCAATTACTAAAGACTTAAGCAGTATAACATGGAATGATTTTTTTAACCCCGAACTTTCAGGTGCAGGGGTGGGCTGGGGTGTCAATTGGACAAGATTTGATTCAATCTGATCCGGTCCAGTATGAGCCCATTATACATGGATCAGGTTCAATACAATCCCACTAATACTTTGTATTATATGCATCGTCTGGAGTCTGGACCTTTCAATCTGTTCAGATTGTGGTTCCAATTCAAACCTGGTCCATAGACACCTGTATTCTTATCTTTTAATTTATTAATGGACTGGATATTGATTCAATCCAACACAATCCAATATAAATTTATTTTGGACGGACCAGGTCCGATCCAATCCAATAATACTTTGGTCTATTAAATCTGGACTAGTGGTCCATCTAATCCATCTAAATTGATATTGATAAGAATGGGATCCAATCCATTGACACCACTACATGGCCACCTTAAAATTTCATTACTCAACCAACATAATCCGCCTTACCCCAAAAAGCCGAAACACAGACACACATCCTCGCCCACTCAACAGAAAATATGTACACAAGAAACAAAGTTGATCATAGAATAAGTAAAAAAGCATTGAAGAAAACATCAATTAATACGCAAAATAGGGAGTTAATATGTAGTCTTCGTTGAGAAACATCCTAAGGGTCTGTTTGGTTTGCAGTTGGAATTGGAATCAGAATCCTCCGAAATCGGAATCGGAATGGTCCATTCCTAGCATCTATTTGGTTCAGTCAGAATCCTCCAGATTCCGATTCCTGCTGTTTGGTTCAACTAGAAATTAGAATTGGAATCATCCAAAGTTTTCAATTCTACCCTATTAATGCCTTGGAAGAATCACAAGAAAGACCTGTCAACTACAATAACAGAAAATTGGACCCTATGACTTTTTCCATTTGGTGGGAACTTTTTTATCAGTAATCAGTAATTAATTCATTAACTTAATCAAGAAAACATTCATTTGATGGGAACGTTAACAAACAGAAGCAAATTTATGAAGAAATTAAACCTTCCCATTAGGAATATCAACGTTTCTAACAGGACCCTTGAAC